CTTTCCTCGTAACCAATTGGCCACAAAGGCACAATCTTTTCCACGAAAATCCTCTAACACCGCGTCCCCCATAGCTCGCCACGCGAAAGATTTTATAGGAAAATTCATTACCTGACGAGGGAATTCCACGTTAAATTGCACGCGAAAACCGATATCGCACGAATCGCGAAGCGATGAGTGCGATATCGGTTTTCAAGTGCAATTTAACGTGGAATTCTCGAGTCAGGTAATGAATTTTCCTTGAATCGCATAATTGAATAAAAATCAGAAGGAAAAAAAAGAAAACAACAATAATATTGTTTGTTTTTATCCGAGCGCGCGCTCCAGAAAGCCATTTCAAAGTCAACTGTCAGAACTGTCATTGCGTTAGCGAATAGGAAGCAAGGTCAGTCGTACACGTTTGAACCTTCGACAACTTTTTTTGTACCTTGTGCTTGTTTTTACATTTGTTTTCAAACTTTTTTACATGTAAACAAGCTTCACACTAATCGTAAGGATAAATAGAGGTATTTTACTGAATTTAGAAGCCGTTTATGTAGAACGTCTTTTTTCAAATTGGTCATTTGCTCGAGAAGGAAAATAATTTACACCTTTTACCTCTTCGGCGGCAAAACGGAAAGAAATCAAGTGTCCAAGCGAAAGCACTGAAAGTTTAACATGTTTAACGTCGCGATTGACATAAGGTAAGTACCTTGAAATGTTTTAGAAATGCTGTTCAAGTTCAGCTCTGTTTTGTACTTTTCTAAGTACCACGATTCAGGACGATTGCAAGCGGCGTACTCTTTTTCGTGTTTTCAGGGGCCATGTCCTCTTTGAAGGTATTTATTTCTTCTTCTGTACATGGGACAATCGACCCCGGCACTTCCTCCGTTGTCGTTTCTCCGTTTTGTTTGGTTGAACTTTGGATTGCCATTTTCTGGGCCGTGTTCACAGGATTTTCTTGTTTTCTGGTTGTCGCGAGTGAAAGAGGTTTTATGTCTCTTCGAGAATCTGTAGTTCAGTTCAAAACAAGGAAGAACCTCCGGCTCACTTTAAAAAACGCTTTTGTTTGTTTTTAACTCTTCAAAAAGTGACAATGAATGGTTTTGAAAACATTTTAAAATGACATTGTAGAAAACCTTTTTTGCATGTTGTTGTGTTAGAATTTGACGATAGTTGTTACGTAGATGCGAAACAATATCGCTTAGCCTCGTTTTCAACTCGCAATTCCACACTAAATACCTCGCTTCGTTAACCAATCAGAATGCGAGATTTTACTTAATTATGCGATTCTACATGAAATCGAGCGTGCAGTTCAAATTCCCCACCCCTAAAGCATGGGGATCAAATTCCCCATCCCCTGGAAGACTCTGATAATCAAATTCCCTCCTCCCCGGGACGGCAAAGGTGTCAAATGCCCGGGGTATGCCCGGGGGGGCATGTTGAAGCTTCGATTTGACCGATACATTACTCTTTACAAAAAATCGTGAGGTCAAAAAGATGAGCTCAGGTGAGTTTAACTCTTTGACGACTGTTGTTCTTTTTGGTCCTAATTTTTGAATCATGAACATTTTCCTTCATTAAGATGGTAAACAGCATAATCAGCAAGGATAGATCTTTCCACAGGGACCTCATTTTAGCACATTGTGACCAATCCTAACAGTGTTAATGCATCGGTCAATTCTACTTTACAATGACTACAATGGGGACTACTCGAAGTCTAACAATAAAGCTGCTAAATTATAATCAATTAGCAGAAAAATATACTTTGAGTGTCAAAAATGTGTTTTTTAGCCATTCCGCATGCTAGCTAGCCAAAAACCGCTCCAATAAGGAGGATTTGGTCAAAAATGCAGTTTTTTGCTTCAAAATGGCTGATAGTAAAGAGTTAATTTTACACTGGTAATTAAGCTTATAAAAGCTTAAAACTTACACTACGTACTTTTGTGTCGCTTGTTAGCTAATTGCTTAGTACTTACAGTAGCAGCTAAGGCCCGTTTCAAACGTCGTGCTACTGCCGTGCCGAACTCAATTGATCGAATTAAATTCGACTTTAGTATGGCAGTAGCGCGATGTGTGAAACCAAGCCGTGCTACTGCTGTGTAGCACGGCAAGCCTTGCCGTGCTACACGGCAGTAGCTCGATTTGGTTTCAAACATCGTGCTACCCCCATGCCTAACTCAATTCATGAATTATGAAATACATTAGAATATATTTAAAAGTTTGCTAAACCGTTTCTTTATTTTTGTGTTTTGTTTTTGGCAACAGCCGTTCTATTCGACTGTCATTGTGTTAATTAAATTCGACGTCTGAAACCAAGTCGTGCTAATGTCGTGCTGCAGTCAAGCTACAGTCGAGCCAGCTTAGTACGGCAGTAGCACGACGTTTGAAACAGGCCTAAGTATATTATTGGACCTTAAGTGAGTTTAAATATTCTGCATTGGCCTTAAAAGAAAAGAACTGTTTTATTGTGAAGTTTTTTTCAAATGATGTTCCTTTTCCAGTCAATAAAACTGATCGATTTGACCTTATCGAAGGTTAGGTTTTCACTGCTACAGTACTTGAACACAATATAATATCACTACTATTTGAACACTCTTGTAATGTTTATTTCTAGGTAGATACAGCGAAATTCGTTGTATTGCGCGGTGCATTTTGCGTTTTTCTTTTCTGTCAATCATTTTAGTGAAGGCGGGGTTAATGCAGATCACAATGTAATGTGCTTGCCCAGCTTGGCTGAGAATGACTCTAGACTGCTCAAGAATAGGAAAGGAAAATCGCGATGGTGAGTGGATTTATTGTCGAAGGAAGGAGGCAGACGTTGCTTTATTCTTGCAAGTCACAAGAATGAGAAAGATCATAAAAATCTGCAAAGCAACTAAACTGGTCGATTATTGCCCGAAAAAGGACGATCACAAAGCAATGAACCTTGAAATGCGAAACAAACAAAACGGATCAAAATTCACCAATCACGAATCACAAACCATGACTTTTTGAACTCGTGCAAGTAAACATGTGTTTCCTAAGAGGTCTGCTAAGATGATTGATGGAACAGAAAAACGCAAAATATGCAAAATGCACGGCACGATTCAATGAATTTTGCTATAATATGTTGATAAATATTGAATGGATGTATATGGTTGTAGTTAATTTTTTATCTCGCGTAATTTTTATTTTTCCTTTGTTTCAACTTCATGAGCATACATTACCATACCCAAAAACCTATCTATCTATCTTTCTAAAAACACAGGAGTGAAGGGTTCCGTCTAACATGAACATGGGAACATGGAGGAACACAACCCCATTTACTTTCCCTACTAAAATAAATAACTCGGAAAAAGTGGATCAGTCACATGGACTTTTCTGATCTCTTTGGTTCCATTTTCTTTAGATAATTAATATATTTTGCAAAATGTGTCAGTTAATGCTGTAATAGCTCAAACTTTTCTACCAGGCGTGAGAAATTAGAACACAGGTGTGAGTAGGAGTGAGATCAAAGTTTTTTGATCCACAGGCATAACAATTGCTCCTTAGGCATGATACTTGGCAGGTATAATAATTCAGTCTAACCCTTTTAATTTACCACTTTCATTTCCATGCTCATGAAGAAGAAGAAGAAGAAGAAGAACCTTTATTAATTTATACCGCTCAGGGTAGCTCCTTCAGACGCAAAAAGCTGTCTGTTATCAATGGGAGCCCTGAGCAACAACGCACAAAAACCACACTAAACATATAAACATTACACTAATACAGGTAATAATATAAATAGAAAACTATTTTCAATTAAAAGATTAAAAGATGTAAAACACGGAATATCAATAAGATAATTCGTTAAAAAGAGTGCAACCATAATAATAGAAGGATCTTTTTGCAATTTCAGTTCTCACAGCAGGCGGATGTAAGAGGTTGCTTTGTCTAGTAGCGCGCGCATGGATTGTATTATTACGTTTAAAATATTGTTTAAAATACTGGGGACATTGACCTTGCAGGCATTTCTTAACGAGTTTAAAAACAGATTGACGTCGGCGCTCCTCCAAGGTGGGCCATTTCAGAACGTCCAATGCCTGCTTGCTGCGCACAGTACAAGCCACTATCCTAGCAGCCCGGTTTTGGAGGGTTTCAAGGTCTTGTTTACGACCTTCCCCGCAACAGCCCCACACACTTACACAGTATTCTAAAATTGGCCTAATTAGACTACAATACACTACATTTGCACTCTCTCTAGTGAGGCTTTTACGAAGCCTGCCGAGCATTCCTACGCGTTTTCCCGCCTTCGAAATTAGGTACTTTATTTGCTCGTTCCAGCTAAGGCGGTCATCAAAGACTATACCTAGATAAGTGAAGTGAAAAACCCGCTTAATTACATTGTTATTTAAAGTAATAGAAAAAGAGTTAACAGCAGATAATCTAGGGGCGGTTCCGAAAAGCATAGCTTCGGTTTTTGTTACATTAACAAACAGACTATTAAAAGAAAGCCAGTGATCAATCTTAGACAGTTCTGCATTCAGCTTGTCTTGAATGACAGAGGGTTGAGAGGATGAACAGTATAAAACAGTGTCATCAGCGTACATCAGAATATTGCAATCGGACACTACTTCATGCCCTTCCTTATTGCAACTCAGTTTATGCTAGAGCATTTTCATATATCATTTATCTAGAGTTTGCAGTCTTCCTTAGGTGATGAAAGTATGTTAAATTTCCCAATCTAACAGACTAATGGATCTGCAGCAAAGTCTAAAAGCTGTAAAGTTGTACCTCAAGCTGGTTGCTGTAAGGATGGTGAGTTTGCAATAATTGTAAAAATTGATTTACAGCAGAATGATTATCCATGGATGTTGAAAAAAAAAAAAATCTTCATAGTAGGTTAAAATTTACCACACATTGAGCCAAAGGCCAGCAAAATACATTAAAGGATTTGCATTAGTGGGATCAGATCAGTTCAATCAAGTTGCTCTGCAGGTTCTGTGGTTTCATCAATAGTTCAGTTGTGCTTCATTAATTGCCTCTGTATTTTTTCAATAGGCAAAGATGGAAAGGATGGACAACATGGTGGGTCATCCATTAATATGCAGCAATTTTCCTTTATTATTAGGCTGCCCGTGAGGGTAACACTCAAATTATCAAGAAATGAGAAGCAAATTCACATTGTTAAGTTTTTTACTTTTTCTTTTGAAAAAGATCCTCCCAACACTATAAGCTGTGCTCCTAAAATTTTCAGCCGTGCACCTAAAATTTTGGCAGCGCAACTAAAAATTTACATCTGGTAGCACAAATGCTGCCCAAACTCAAATTTAAACTTTGAGCCCTGTTAAAAAAGTATTTCAAACACCAAAATTAACCCAGTGTCACATTTTATAGCCATAGAACAACAATAATTTTTAGAATTTCTTGTTAGATCAGATTAGTCACGTTACTACTGTCATGTCATGCTATATTTTCGGTGGCAGAGGGATGGGAATGAGATGTGGAAATGTCCCAGTTGAAAATAATGCCAATCGTTTCTAGCTCTATCCCATTCTCCAGCGGGCAAAAAGTGTAAATTTTATAATGTACTGGTATATAACTTCCCAAAATAATAAACCACTGCACCACTCCGTCGGCACCCCAATGAACCCCCACTATATGGGGTTCTCATTACAACTGACATTAATGCAGCCATGATTATAGGTTAAGAAATAATGCCTCCACGGCCACTGGTATAATTAAGTGTTGTTTTTGGTTTGCAGGAAAAGATGGACGCGATGGAGTGAATGGTGATGTACATTTTATGTTCCTGTCATTCTCAAAATAAATCTTATCCATGGGGCTCATTCTGTTCATTTACTGCAGTAACATATTTTTGCAACATTCTTCTCCCCTTCCCTCTTAGCTGGTTGTCTGTGTTCTACCCCAGCTTTTAGACAATTCATTAGGCTGTTCTCTAAGAAAACTTAAAGGGAGCCCTGGATGCTCTGTATCTGCAGAGATTCCAACCCCATGTGATGGAAAATAGGGAGTAATTATTAGTGCCAAAGGCGCGAGCTTCTAGGGGGGTCAGGGGGCATGCCCATGGGAAATTTTGCAAATTTAGGTTCTCTCAAGTGCCATTTCCTGAATTTTGACATCATTCCGGCCTGAGTTATAACATACCATAATGCTCTTCGTGAAGAAAGTAAGTATAATATGAGTGTTTCACAGTGACAGATCGCCAAAAATTCTAAAGATTAGCAATTTTCCCCTAGTTTTCAGAATTTTATAATAAATCGGGAGAATTTGGTAAAAATCGGGAGAGCGGGAGGCAAGACATCAAATCGGGAGACTCCCGATCAAATCGGGAGGGTTGGAATCTCTGGTATCTGTGAAATCCAGGGTAACAAGTGTAGGACTTTTTTGATAAAGCTAAGATGTCCTTTAGGGGCCACTGGTTGCTGCTAGAGAATCAGCCCCGTAATGTGAATATTACATTCTGTTAATTGTTTTGAACACAGGAAAAGATGGCCGTGATGGACGAGATGGCAGTGGAATAAAGGCTGGCCTTTCTTAATGTTAATGCATTGTTTTCTCTTTTTGATTGAAAAGTTCAGGAATAAAACAAACCAGAGAACTGTATATCTCAGACACGTTCTCTGTAGTGAGAAGATAACATGTTTCCAAAAAGAAGTTTTACTGTATTTAAACTAACATTTTGAAGCTTGAGGTAACGTAAAAATTTAGGCTTTCCCTTTTCAGAGAAAGAAGAGGAAGACATAAAATGAGATTTATTTCTGAAAGAAATAAATGGTTTTATGCTTAATGTGACTGATCATTATTGTATTTCTCCAGCTACCAGCAAAGGAGGGTTTCCTGTCATCCAGGTGATTTGTCACGAAAGTGTCATTTATGTCACGGGTCATGTAAGTCACAGAAGCGAGGCACAAGACCTCCTTCCTCGCATTACAAGACAGTCAGAAACATTTTTGATGGCGACCGGATTTAGATGCAGGATGCTTGCGATTTATCAGTCTCTTTCGCTCTTCTTGGGTCTTACCTACCGAGCATCACCTCTTCTTTGAGATAAGTACTAGATTATTGCCCGATGGCTCACCGCTTACTCTCGGTGCTGTATTGATGTCCCCAGTCATGTTCGTGCACATGATCGTCTTGTTGATTGCGGGAATTCATACACGTTGCGGTCGTTTATGCTAATGAAATGCCATTGTTTATTGGTAACATCGAATTCTACATCCAATCGACCATTAATTTGTTATGTTTTCAGTTACACTGGCTTGTATGCTAGTCCGTTCGGTGTCCGTAGCACAGTTTCGTTGTCCCTCACACTGGTTGTGCCCCGTGTTCTTCAGCTACTTGTATCGTTGGCGCCAACTGGCGCTATATTTGAAATCAGTAACACTCGCCCGATCTTCAGTTGAAATTTTTATTTATACCAGCCTGGAGCTGGGTCTCTTTGTTTATGATCTTGTTTTATGATTTGGAAAGACACTTTATTTATTCATAATTATTTTCAGTTTACCTTTATGCACATTTGAGCATTTTTGACCTTTGGACTCAGCTTATGTGTATAATTAGAATTACAGTATTATAAAAATAAAAAACAACAACAAAACAAAGCCAAACAAAACGATGCGTTATTAAACCCTACAGGCTAAAACTTGCAACCATTCTAACAAAGTTATCTCAGAGGTACAGTGTACTGTATCAGCATATCAGGTTTATCGTTTGCTGTTCATATGTCAGTTTTGTCTGCATATTGTGTTTTTATCCTGTTGCATTGTGTATCGTTGTGTTCTGTTGTTTTCCTTTAGTCGCTGTCGGCGACATTCTGTCTGCCAGTGCTTACTTCTGAGCCGTTTTTTCAGTGTGAGGCTTTGTTCCTCCACTTGTATTTGAGGCGTTGATCTCATTTTGTTGAGGTTTTGTCCTCATGTTGTATCAAGGCTTTGTCCTTGTTTTTTATATTGAGGCTTCGTCCTCATATGCCCTCGTATTATATTGAGGCTTTGTCCTCATATTTTATTTTGAGGCTTCGTCCTCGTATTATATTGAGGCTTTGTCCTCATATTTTATTTTGAGGCTTTGGCCTCATATTTTATTTGGGGCTTCGTCCTCATATTTTATATTGAGGCTTCATCCTCATATTTTATTTTGAGGCTTCGGCCTCGTATTTTATTTCGAGGCTTCGTCGTCATATTTTATATTGAGGCCTTGTCCTCATATTTTATTTTGAGGCTTTGTCCTCATATTTTATATTGAGGCTTCGTCCTCATTATTTTATATTGAGGCGATGTTCCTCAGTTTGAGGCTTTGGTCCTCATTGTTCTAGGCCCCTGTTCCTTTGTTTGTACTGCTTATTTGATTTGTTTCCAGTGATATGTGTGTGGTTCTGTTTGTTGTATTTTTGTCTAGGGTAACCAGATGCCAATATTATTTGGTTTGAATTTCTATTCACATTTTTTGCCTTTTTTGTCTATTTTTTAGTCTTTATTCGTGCAATCCGTTATTTTGGTTTACATGCAGCTACATTAAGTTTAATCTCCGGTTTTGTTGGCTCCCCTGTTTTGATATGTGTGAACATTACAGTCCTGCGTTTATTGTGATGGGACACTGTAATACGTTGCTTTATGCTTTACTCTCCATGTCACATCAGTGCTTTTAGCTTTGTTGTTTTTGAGGAATTTACTGTTTATTCGTTTTGTTTGGGAGATCCTGATTGATTTATTAATTGGTTACACATTGTTCTTTAATCGTAGCACATTCTGGCTTTTTTAAAGAAGTTGTTTTTATAGTTTTTTCATTTTACTGCAGGTGCTAAGGTATACACATGCAGCTCCCTTTCATGGACACCTTTTCAATGAAGCCAGTCTTGAGCAGAGTACCAACCAGCTTTATCCAACCATCTTCAGCTTTCCCTTGGCATCTCTCTTAAGAAAGTCAATAGCTCTGCATTCTCTTTGGTTCCTCAATTCAGTTCAACATAGTATGCCAGAAATGTTCCAAAGAGTTGTACACATTCTGCTGATCATTTTTCCAGGAGTTACATCTCTAGTGCCGGGCTACTCAAGAGCAGCTGCTGCGTCCCTTGGCATGTGGCACCTACGTGTACATCTACTTGGGCAGAACTTTTCTCAGGCTACTTTGGCTTGCCGGGCATTGTGATTGGGTATACATGTAGCTCAAGTTTATAGGACATGTATGTCATTTGATACTTATGTGCAGGACATATGGGCAGTGACATTGTAATATGTAGAATTCTCACCACATGAGTCAGGGTCATTCGGCCATCTTACAGTATACTAATTTTTTCACTTTATTCACCTGTTAGTTTCCTAGGTGATTTCTGCTTATTGTATAGTTTCAAGGTGACTGTGTGAGCAGGGGCCATACAGCCATCTCACAGATTTTCATTTGAATCAGTTACATCAGTGAGTTACGTCAGACTTTTTATTAGTATCATTCAGGGTGACTGTGTGAGCAGGGGCCATACAGCCATCGCACAGATTTATTGTAATCAGCCACATCAGTTAGCTATTTCAGACTTTTGATAAGTATAATTTTGCATGACTGTGTGAGCAGGGGCCATACAGCCATATCACAGATTTCCAAATTTAATCCGTCCATTATGTCACTGAGCTATGACAATTTAGAGTAAATTGTTATTATTTAAATTCATGTTTACAGTGTGGGGAGGGGCCGTACAGCCATCTTACCGATTTCATTTTAATCAATTACATTAACGAGCTATTTCAGCTTTTTGATAAGTACAATTCAGCGTGACCGTGGGAGCAGGGGCTATACAGCCAGATCACAGTTTCTCAAATTAAATCATTTCATTATGTCACTGAGCTATGACCATTCAGCCTAAATTGTTATCATTTAAATTCATGGTGACTGTGTGAGCAGGGGCCATACAGCCATCTTACCGATTAATTTTCACTTCTAATTATTTCAACCTGGTTTAACTTTACAGCTTTTAAACACGTTTGAGCTTCGTATCGATGTGGCATTAGTGAGGCCAATATTATAAGTTGACTGTGTGAGCTAACAGGCTATACAGCCATTTCCTTTATTCTAGCTACAGTAGCCCATTTCTGTTGGTGACATCAATCCACTTCTGTATCCAAGACTTAGGAAAACATTACTTAAAACTCATTTGCTTATGTAGGCCATTTTATTCCCTTCTAGTGTCCAGTGCTTAGTGGATAAGTGCAATTTATGATGGCTGTGTGAACAAGGGCCATACAGTTATCTCATTCATTTTCACTTTTAAACTGTTAGTTAACTTAAGTGATTCACACTTTTTGATCTGTATCAGATTCAATAACAGTGTGAGCAAGGGCCATACACCCCTCACATTCATTCAAACTTGTATATTTCTGTTGGTTACACTGATCCATTTCAGTAAGCAGGGCTTTGTAAACAGCCTTACCATTCTATTACTATATGTTTATGTGCATAACCTCCACTGAACTAAACTGGTGGAACTAAGCTGTAAGTGACAGTGACAAAGAATGAATACAATGTCGTATTGCTATGAACACACATGAGCCGTTATGGCGCTAGTTGACTCTATTGTTGTAAGGTGTACACGGCTGGATGATTATAATACATGTATATTCATCTCAGCTCTCGCACATTGACATTTTTTATTTTTAATGTGGTATCTTTCTTACCTTTAACCCCCAGAGGTTTTGTGTGACTGCATTGGTTGGGGGATACGTTCCCAATTTTTCCCATGTGGTTTTTCGGGTTTTCGTATCAGGCGGCGCACACCTTTTTCCATTGTACATTTTGATTTGTAGGTACCAGTAGTTTCTGTTGGCGGTCGTCTTGCTTTGGCCTCGGGTGGGGCGGCCCTTTCACTCGTTCCTTGCTCTGGGCTGTGGCGGGTGTGCCCTCACCTTTGCTGGGATAATGTTCTTGTGTATCTAGTTTTCCCAGCTTTATATGCTTTGATTTAATAAACGGCCACTCCCATGGCCAAAATATCCCATAATGGGATTGTGATTATTTTGTGTCCCAGCAAACAGAGCTCACCCAAAGCGAGACTCTGCCAACGTCAATAACTTTCGTAATATGTAAAGGAACATGAAGCATAAATGAGATTTATTTCTGAAAGAAATAAATGGTTTTATGCTTAATGTGACTGATCATTATTGTATTTCTCCAGCTACCAGCAAAAGAGGGTTTCCTGTCATCCAGGTGATTTGTCACGAAAGTGTCATTTATGTCACGGGTCATGTAAGTCACAGAAGCGAGGCACAAGGCCTCCTTCCTTGCATTACAAGACATTCAGAAACATTTTTCCCTCCCTTCCCTCCCGTTAGCTTTATTTTACCCTAGGGAGTGGCGGGTGTGCCCTCACCTTTGCTGGGATAATGTTCTTGTGTATCTAGTTTTCCCAGCTTTATATGCTTTGATTTAATAAACGGCCACTCCCATGGCCAAAATATCCCATAATGGGATTGTGATTATTTTGTGTCCCAGCAAACAGAGCTCACCCAAAGTGAGACTCTGCCAACGTCAATAACTTTCGTAATATGTAAAGGAACATGAAGCATAAATAATTTTAAAAAAAATTAATAACCTTAAGGGGCACTGTCACTAGGTATATTTGCAACAATGGAAACAGGACAGAAAAAATAATTTTAGTCATATGTTTTGATTGTTGCAAGCCTTAACAAAAAAGGAACAAGTTATTGCTAGTCATTCATATACTGCCTTACAAAAATTGCTTGCTTGCCTGAAGTTACTTGCCTGGCACTTAAAGGGTGGGGAACTTGTCTCAAAACCTCCAGCTGAAAATTTTTTGAGCCCTGGTTTTTTTACCAGTCTTTGAAGTTAATATCTTTTTGCATGAGCCTGATAAATCCCCTGTCCCCAGTGCCAAGGGGCCTGGATCCAAAATATAATGATTATATTTTATCCAGGCCCCTTGGCAGTGGGGACAGGGGATTTATTGATTTAAGACACTATTAGGTGCAAGTTAAGATAGAGTAAGCGACGCGGTCAACCCCCCACGATTTCAAATATTGAGAATTGATAGCAAAGGGATCATAGATGACGTCATAACGCAGGGCGCATGACGTCATTTGTGCAAAAAATACCTGTTGACTCCGATCGCCACAAATTTGCGATGACGCAAAACGTGTGAAAAAGATGTTGTTGGCATTGTAATGTTTAACTTGATTGGGTTACTTCTCACCAATCTCGTTAATTTTTATGTTACAATGGCATACTGGGGTTAACGAGGAAACGTTCGAAGTTAACAGGACAAAAATAGCTCAAACAACGCAAAATATTTGAAATTTTATTGTCGCAAAGTCGACTCTACAAGAAATAGCAAAATTCGGCGATTATCCGGGAGATTTCATACTCTAATCTGGAGACTGGGAGATACGGTCCAAAATCTGGAGTCTCCTAGATTATCCGGGAGAGTTGACAGCACTGAGTAACCTTTCTTACCCTATTCTATGGTTATACAAATATGCACGTAGTCACTAAAGCAGGTGTATCTAGATAAACTCAGAACTACATGTAATGTTAATTTAAATATGGGCATGGAGCAGTTTTGGTCACTTTTAAACTAATTGCATTAATTATGTGTTGACTTTTAATTTTTAGTAATTTTGTTACTGTTAATAAATAAACGTTATTTAGTGGTAGCAAGTCCATGAAGCGGTTCTTCACCTACCACATTCAAAAAGCAATGTGCCACCCCATAACTGCAGCACCCATGCACCATCATTTTTCTCCAATAAGGCTGAAGTTCCTTAAAAGATAAATAAAAGATGAATAAAATTAATAGTAGTAGTCATCTTCTAAGTTATAGTGTTAATTTGTCAGTTTGCGTTTCACCTTGTAAATATCTATGTTAGGGAGAAAAAGGAGAAACAGGGAAACCAGGAAGAAATGGAAGTGCAGGTGTTAAGGTATTATATATACGTTCTGCTTTTCAAATGGCGGTTTTTAGTTTCTGGATCCATACACTTGTATCAGTGATTACATTGGGTGTAGAAATGTCTTTTGTGTGTTTAATTTTCGGTTGGACTAAGCAAAATGATCAAAATTATACAGACCAGACCAGTTAGCTTTATTTTGATTACACCACAGTATAGATTGTCTCTATTTGTTATTTACCATCTTCATCATCATCATTGTCATTCCTTTGTCACAGTTTGCTTTAATTACTTATTGTTATTGTTATTATTATTATGTTTTTCTTCTTTCACAGTTCGTACTGTCCAGGGCTCCGAGAAGCGCCCAGTTTCCTTGGGAGCGGCTGGGGGGGGGAGTTTTCATTTAATTTGTAGACAGCACTTTTTGTAAAATATGGGCTGTGCTTAGAAGACTGATCTTTGAGAGTTCTTCGATATTGATATTTTTATTGATATTCATTTTTTCCACGTATTTTCCCAGGCCCGTCTTTAGTAGGCCAAGAGCTCCAATATTTACAGGCACAATTTCTGTTTTAAGGCCCCATATTCTAGAGATTTCAATCTCTAATTCCGTATTCTTTGAAAGCTTTTCAATCATTTTGACAGATGATGATGATGTTGATGATGATGATGATGACGAAGATGTTTGTTATTACGTCTTGTTTAGCAGTTATTACTGCTCAGATCTCCGAGGAGCTACCAGTTTCCTTGGGAGTGGCTGAGAGGAGGGGGGAGTCGCTATTATCTCGTTGGTAGAGAGCACTTTTCTTAAAATGTGGCTGATCTTGTGGATGTCCTCAATATTGATGTTTCCAGGGATTCTGTTGACGTATTTTCCCAGGCCCTTTGTAAGCAGGCCAAGTGCTTTTTATTATTTCTGTTGCAGGGGGTGAAAGGAGAACCAGGAATGGATAAAAACAGTAATGGTGGTGTTAAAGTAAGTGTAAGTTTCATGACCTTTTTTCTCTGTAAGAAAGAACACTTTAACAACCTTGATCAGTTCTCCAACATGGATTTACCTTCAATCAAATATTTGTTTTTTTTTCTGCCAACTAATTTTCAGTGTCCAAAACAAAAACGAAGGCACATGCTTTATCCAACACACATGCTTTATCCAACACAGCGACACACACCATTTTCATTCAATCTTCATCTCCCTCACGCTTCTAAATGTTACATTCGACCTGTTAGTTGGTATGTCCGAGTTGGCGCTCGACCAAACTAACTAACAGGTCGAATTTTATTTCTCCACGGATACCTTTCTGGTACAAAACAAGTACCGCATGTAACTATAAGTTTTCTCCTTGTATCCCTATAGTAAAGGATAAAGTGGTGATCAGGTTTTAAAATTCCCGAGCTCTTTGGCTATCTACTAGAATATTAATATATGTTCATTATAATTATAAATACTTTGTTTGATAAGGGTGAGAAGGGATCTCGTGGTGACAAAGGATCCCAAGGAGAGAAGGGATCACAAGGACAAAAAGGAATTTCGGGAACGTGTGATACAAAGGTAATTACTACCTTGCAGCTCCTAGATTTTCATTCCTTATAACCTTTAGTAATAATTATCCTTATTATTCGTTCAAAATATTTCCCCGTTTCTGATTGGTTAAAAACACACACATAATTTACCATAACCAGCTGCTGTTGACGAAATTTGAAAAGAATTTTGTCATATTGAACCGATGACGTCAAAAGTGCAGCCTGGTTGCAGGTTATTGAACCGTTGACCGAGAAAACCTGAGGACAAGGTTGAGTTGTTTTGGTAGTTAGAACCAAATGGCGGAACTGTCGCGGAACATTTCACTCGTTTCACCTCGAAGTATTGTCTAAAAACATCGCAAGAACAGCAAGAAAACAACTTGACGGACAAGATCTGCTATTGGGAGTATATTTGCAGACCTTAATCTCCTAAACTTGCCGATAAAGATGCTTTATCGATATGAACTTACATCGACCGAGGTTAGCATGTTTTAGCTTGTTTTTAAACTTGGAATTATTTTGAAGGAATAATAAAACAATTATTGAATTCGGCTTTCGTAGGATGTGAAGTATTCTGCAGATTCGATCTGCAGAATTTTTCATATCCTACTCAGCCTCCTTCAATAATTGCTAATAATTACAACGAGCCATATTAATTTAATTACTATAGACTGCATGCACGATCTCTTCCTTTTCGGGCCTGTTGTCTTTAAATGGGAGAAGAAAGCGTGAGTAGGCGGCAAAGTTGTGACACTTGACGGTGAGTATCGAGGTTTTTAACAAGCCTAAGGAAACAAGAACAAAATAATGCTCGCAGTCTATGTTCCCTACTACCATATATGATGTTAACGTAAGATTAGCTCAATGTCATCTTGAAAGCAGGACCCTTTTTACATCACTTGGTGTCTGATCAAGGGAGTTTTTCGTCAGAAAAAGTTATCTGTGCAGGCGTTCAACTCCGCCCGGTTAGCTCAGTTGGGAGAGCGCCGGTCTGCTGAGCGGGAGGTCGCGAGTTCGAATCCTGGCCGGACCAACACTCAGGGTCTTAAAAATAACTGAGGAGAAAGTGCTGTCTTTGTAATGACATCTGCAAATGATTAGACTTTCAAGTCTTCTCGGACAAGGACGATAAACCGGAGGTCCCGTCTCACAAACCTTGTTCACATATAACTCTGTGGGACGTTAAAGAACCCACATACTATTCGAAAAGAGTAGGGGACGTAGTTCCCGGTGTTGTGGTCTATCTTCATCACTTACATCATCACTCATCATTGGTTGGGAGGGTTCAGTGGGCTCATAAATGGACTGATAGCGGCTGCCACCGGCGCCCTTAGTATGCTGATGTCCGAGCCCACTGTAAAAAGCTATGTAAAGAGGACATGTATGTTTGTCCTCTCAATCGCGACATTTACATTTACATTTACATTTACATATATAACTACAACCATGTACAAAAGTCTTGGGACACATTTGCATTTGTGCGGCTTTTTTTCAATTCACACATGACCAACTCCTACCCCCACCCCACAAACAACGTTGGACGCGTGTCGGCGTGTATCCAGAATTTTTCCGAGTTTCAACATTGTATAGGGTGGGGGGAGGGAGAACTGCAAAAAAATTTCGGAAGGGATGCCCAACGTGTATTTTATAAGGACTTCCAGAAATTACAAAAAATTATGAATACTGCATCACTGCACTAGGATTTCTGTCCGGGAGTGTACATTAGGAGATTGTTAGCTTTGTTATTTAATTGTATTTTGTTCTTACAATTTATTTTGCATTTTAGAGCAAATCAGGGTGCTGTTTAACCGGTAAGGGCATTATTTACTACTGTATACATTTACGATATACATTCACATTGATTCACTGGAAAGAAGAGTTTCCGAATTTTAAGTTCATGACACCGTGGCCCATCTTTGGTCATTGCAAAACCACAACGCATGGGTAAATTCTTTTGTCGATTGATTCTAACTAGGTTTTTTTCTTGACATAAGTTGTTAACAAAGATGTTCCTCCTTTTTTTTCTTGTGGAAGACTGCTCTATACACGCTTTTAATAATTCGGGGCGCCATCTTGAATTTTTAATTTATGACGTCAATCGCGGAAAGATTTCAGCCGCCGTCATTGAGTTGTGACTCGTGAGATCTCATCATGTCAGGAAGAGAGACCCAGACAGGTCAGTCTGAATCGCTTTATTCCATTTTTTTTCGTACAAACATTAACTACTGCTTTCACATCTTTTTCCTAGGCTCTAATAATCGTAATTGTGCGGTTCCTCTCTGCAAGTCCTACGGGGTAATATTTGATAACAAGCGCAACAGAAATGTGACTTACCATAAGATACCAAGCGATTTAAATGTAAGGCAAGCATGGCTGCAGCGTATTAGAAGGGAGGAAAACTCAACTTTTAAGGTGTGGAACTAATTTTTTTCTGTGATTGTGAGTTCGAATTCGTACTGCTTCACCGATCTCTTACATATCGCTTTTTCTCTAGGTGCAGAAGCATACAGTCGTCTGCTCCCTTCATTTTACGGATGAGGACTTAGAGTATTCTAGTTTTAGTTGTAGGTGGTTTGTGAAAACTGGCAGACTTCCCTCTGTATTCGAATGCTGGGAGCACAAGCCATACCTAATCCCTAAGGTTCAGAATAAGAGGAAGCTGAACAAGAATCAGATTCGATCGAGTGAAACCAGTTGTAAACATCAAAGAGGTGATCCTAGTCGTACTGGAAACGAGATTGAATCGGCTGAAGTGTTTATTGAGTCAAGTGATACTTCTGAGGAGAAAAACTTTCACAAAACCGACGAAGAAATATCTGAGCTAAAAGCTGAAGTTGTAACACTAAGGGAGCAGGTAAAAACAGCTAACAACAAGATCAAACAGCTTGAGGAAACATTAAGTGGAATGGAATTCTGTATTGAGAATATTGAAGACAAAGATATCTGTTTTTATACTGGATTTCCTAATCGTGAAGTCTACAATGCGGTGTTAACTTATTTTAACCCAGGTCCCAATGGTGAAAATTTAGTGTACACTCGAACTGATCCAAGACCTGACATAGAGTCTACACCCCTGCAAAAACGTGGACGGCCCAGAAAACTATCTCCTTCCAATCAGTTCTTTTTATTCCTTTGTAGGGTTAGGGTTGGGCTCTTTGAATGTGATCTTGCATTTAGGTTTAACATTTCTATTGGGACTGTAAGTAACATTGTTATTTCTTGGGTTAACTTTCTATATCTAAGACTTGGATCATTAAGCATCTGGCCAAGTAAAGAAACAATATTAGCAACAATGCCAGATTCATTCAAAGCAAAATACAAAGACACTAGGGTCATCATTGACTGTACCGAAATAAAAGTAGAAATGCCTTCTTCGCTGGTCCTAAAATCTCAAACGTACTCAAACTACAAAAGTGCCAATACATTAAAAGGGCTAGTTGGCATTTCTCCAAGTGGATCCATAACATTTATATCTCAGCTGTACACTGGCTCAATATCAGACAGGGAAATTACTGAACGCTGTGGTATTCTTAAAATGCCATTTCAAGCAGGCGACAGTTTAATGGCAGATAAAGGATTCGACATCCAGGACTTGCTAGATCCAATCAGTGTCAAGTTAAATATGCCTCCTTTTTTGCACATGCAAGACCAAATGCCTGTTCAAGATGTTCTAGAGACACAGCAAATAGCTGCCGAGAGAATACATGTTGAAAGGGCCATTAATAAGATTAAAAACTTTCATCTATTTGATCAAGTTATTCCATTATCTCTGGCTGGCTCTATCAACCAGTTATGGACTGTATGTGGATTGCTGACTCTTTTTCAAAAACCGATCATTTCATGACAGTAGATTTGTAGTTGTTCTGGTATCTCTTGAGTAATTATCAGTGTCATGTTTGCCTTATGTTACAGATTCAAATGTAACTGAGTGTTCCAATTGCCCTATCAAAGTCTCTGAGCTACTAAATAAAATAAACTTACTTAGGAGCCTTCTAGATGGAATGCTTGTATGTCAACATTTTATTCAACAGGTGATGTTTAAGATACCTTTTTCATACAAAGTATATCCATTACAACATTAAAACTGATAATATAGAACAGTTTAATAAAGAGTTAGTGTCATGTGGAAACTTTTAAGAGTGGTGTTCCCTTGGTTCTCTAAACCTTAGACTTAAACCTTCATGGCCTCTGGCATTACATGCTGCTGATAAAAGTTTGTTAGTTTAGTAATCATTGACTTCCAAAATGGCTCATCAAACTTTATTCGCTGTACAATAAGGCCTTTCTGAAAAAATACTACAAAATCACACCACTTTAATCCTGCCAAACCCATCTGGCCTTGTACTTGATAGTAATAAGGGTGATCCTTTTTAAGCTCAGGCTTACCATTAACTAGTTGGCAATAAAAACTTGGGTCAGCACATGCCTCCTCAGGTGTCAGGTGTCTTAATGAATAGGGGCATTTGATTTCTACCAAACCAAAACCAAATATTTTATCTATCACCTTTCTGTCTGGTGAAGCAGCCAACCATGGCATTGTGCTGGATACGACAAGACCGCACTCTAAGACCTGAACGTCATGTCCAATACCTGTCATGTATTCAGCATACTTATTTGCTGCTTTAGCCTCGTTTGAAATCCCGTACCTTATAGAAGGCACATTGGAAAGATCCTTTGGTGACAGCAAATTTTTTTGAACAAACTTTGTTTGAGATATGTTAAGTTTTCGGTTGCAAACAAGTCCAAAATTGCTACTAGTTAACCTTAGTCTTCTACTTTGAAACCACAAAGGGTTGTTGCTTTGACCTCTAGTTTCTCGTTCAATCAAAGATGGATTAGGGACATTCAAATGACTAATAAACCGGTCCTCCTGATAAGAAAGGGGCATTTGCAATCCCACTCCAGCTGGTACATTAGTTTCAATGGGGAGGTCAGGAAAGTAGTCACCAACAGCTCTGGGTCTTTGCAAGACTGGAAAATTTGTTAAAACATTGAAGTTTGCTTCTGTTAGGGAGAGCTGGTAGCTTAAAACACTACCACATGGAACCATGTGTCCATTTAATTTAGTTGGAATCGTTGCAGGTTTTTGTTCAAACACAGTACAGAATCCTAAAGAAGGATTAATGCTTTTCAGTGAATCAAATAAATTATTTGCCCCCTCGTTATTTTGGACCATTGGTTGTCTGGCTTCATAAAAAGTACACTTTAAACCCTCTGAGCTCTTGTCCCTGTATTTAGGATTGATCACATTATATCCCATAATAGGTTCAGGGTTTATACCCTGGGTTCTTGGTTTATGCCACTGTTGGGGGTTGTCTGTGCATGTTCCAATTCTTGGGAATTCAGGGGCCTTTAATTTAATGACATGATCAATCAGATATAATAAACCCATGGTGTGATTACAATACCCATTTGCACCTGCTGGACAAGAACACTTAGCCCTCTTAACATCTCCAGTAGTTAACAGTATCACAGTAACATTATGAGGCCTTTCATTTTTCTTTTGTGATCTAAAGCACTTCCCTTTTACATGGATTTCATTTTCTTCAAGCTTACATAAAACATCGTGACAATAATTTTCATAGAAAAACTTGTACCCCTTTTCGAGGGGCTTTTCAACATAGCTTTTTGCTTCTCTTCCGGATTTTTTGGCATGTTCAACAATATTAAGGTAAGAAAAACGCTTTGGAAGAACTGAGGTATCAGTACTCCAGCTCTCTTCAACGTCTACATCTGTATCTGTAACCAGTGCTTCGGGCTCTTGGCTTTCTGGATTTCTAAGCTGCTCCTCCCCAGAACAAAATCTGCATCTTGCTTTTTTTTTTTTGCTCGTGTGTATGCTTTCCGGGATCAGGGTCGATCAGAATAAAATCTTTATCCAAGTTCTGTCTTACCCTAAAAGCGATACATAAATACTTAAACGCTAATGATCGAAAACAGAAACATTCAATGGAGATAGTATTATAGTACATTTTGAAAGGTAATCGGTGCAAACAAACTTACAAACCTTCAAGAGAGGTCACGTCGGTAATAAGCTTAATTATCGCATTAATGTTATCGTTTTCGTTTGACAAAAACGCCGCATAAACAATCAAAAATAAAAACAAGTTGGTCTATAATAAACGTTTACCTTGAAAGAAGTTCAGCTCTTGTTTCTGTTGACTTATAACGTAAGCCACGGCAGTTAAGCCAGAACTTTAATTCGCTTTTTTGCATTTTTCTAAATCGGCCCTCGATATCATTGATCCTGGAATATCCTCGGACGAAAGCTGAAATAAATTCAAAAGCACCAACTTAAATTTTGTTTCGCCACTAAAGACATTTGTGTTTACAAAAGTACACTTGATTTAAAGGGAAAACTCACCTCAGTACATGTACAAACTGCGGGTTCATCCTGAGTAGCCATGTTGGCCACGTGGAAATCTTTCCGCGATTGACGTCATAAATTAAAAATTCAAGATGGCGCCCCGAATTATTAAAAGCGTGTATTGGACTCCACTTCTTTGAAAAAGTTCAAGACCTACCAACCCGAGGAGCTGTAGCTGTGGAACGTTTCACCATTGATGGAAGTTTGTTTCTTGCTTTTGCCAACTATCATGGGGACATTAAAAAATACAAGACAAGTTCCATGACCTACAAGATGGACAACTCAACTGGAAGATTGTCTTTGTACCAGACCCTGCAGACAAGAGGAGCGTATGACCTGGAGTACTTTTCTATCGCTAACAAACATTTCCTTGCTGTCGCCAATCATTACGATGGAACATACCGGCTGGACTCTACAGTATATCAATGGAATGGAACGCTGTTTGTAGACTTTCAGAAATTGCCGACAAACGGAGCAATTCGCTTCACCTATTTCAAGATACTTGGGGAAAGGTATCTCGCAGTAGCCAACTACAATGACGACAGTACCCATTCTATAAAGTCAGTTATCTACAAATGGAGCAGCGGCAGGTTTAACAGATTTCAAGACATACCAACTGACGGTGCCTCCGGATGCACAGCATTTGTGATAAACGGTGACACATTCATCGCTTTTGCAAATCTTTACAACTCCCAACACAAGTTTTCTGTTCAGTCCACTGTGTTCAAATGGTCAGGAGGTCACTTTGTTAAACTGCAGTCTCTTCAGACTTACGGGGCGAGAGATGTGAAGTCTTTCAACGTCAACGGACACGCGTTCCTCGCTTTTGCCAACCAATATTCTGGAAGTAAGTACAACATCGATTCTTTCATTTACAAGTGGAATGGTAACAAGTTTGTCCTGTTTCAGTCCATTCCTACTCGAGGAGCCGCCGCATGGTGTCCATTTGTGATCAAAAACGGTCTCACCTACCTTGGTGTGGCTAATCACTATGGTGACAGTCAGAAACACAATACTCAGTCAGTTGTGTACCAGGCCTCTGGAGCAAGGTTCATCAAGTACCAAGAGATTCCCACACATGGAGCGCATGGTATAACGTCATTTGAGTACAAAGGTCATACTTACCTTGCAGTAGCAAACTACTACAATCGCCGGAAGCACAACATAAACAGCGCCCTGTACAAGTGGGTATAGAGCAGGAGGCCATAAGGTCAGGTCCAAGCATAGAAGATATTTTGAGTAGTGAAGAACTAAAACATTTCAATTGCTAATCTAAGTAATAACGGGAACTTTATAATCGTCATACTGTCTATCCGTTGAGAAGGGGTTTTTACAGGAAGGAACTGATAAATAACATCAGTTTTTTGGTTGATATAGTGAAATGTTAGAAAACAAAATGTGCTTTATTATCGCGGCGATTAGTTGCAATAAAGATGTGCTTGGAACACTAAGAGGTTGTGTACTTTCTTTTTGAACGAAAATCCTACAATAATGAATCTGTGGCATAGCTTGTATTTCTGTCTGTCTCAACGTAATGTATTATAATGAGCACAGCTTAAGCAATCTGCAAAAGGAAAGGAAAGTTAAAGAATGCTTAGATTCCTGATGCAAGTAACGCGAGTTTATTGGCCCATCGATGAACGTAGCAATATCGACTAAAGCATTCAGATATGGCGTTATTTTAATAACTGTCCTTTTACACATTGCCAATTAGATACAAGAAGTATTCGAGCGCTCAGATTTTCAAAACCAGCTCAGCTTTTTTAGAATATAGGCGTTTTGAGGCTAGACAAGCCGTTGTCTGCTCACTATCTGCCTATAAAGAGCCAAAACTGCCAGGAACGTTGTTTACATGTCGAGCACTTTACACCTTCTATTCCAGATGCAATATATGGGCTTCGGAAGCACGGGTGTTTGCCGAGAGTAAATTTTCGATATTTTAGGTTAAAAAGTCGTGGCATTTTTGCCTTTCGCTTTCCCTCCTCCCGTCCTTTTTCTTTATTCTTGTTCAGGTTTTTGGTCCTGGGAATTTACTGGGCCTCATTTCGGTAGAAAATGTTCTGGAGAACTCAAGACTTATGGTATTAAAAGGGAGAAAGTGTAGGTGGGTAGTGGAGGATTTTCATCACCATTTTCGGCTCAACGTTACCATTTTTTTGTCTTTTTATCCTGGCATGGTTTGAAATATTTCTTGCTCCTACGAAAGTTAGATGACTAAGTCATTAGTCCTTAAGCGCTAAAATTGATGACCCTACAAACGGTATACAAAGGCGTGGATCCGCGCGGGGCAGTTACGGGACGATTTGGGTGATTGGAAAGATCTTTTTCCTGTAGGTCAACAAGGACCTCAAAGCCAGTTTATTTCCGTAAGATTACAAGACCGTACTTAATTACAGAACGCCCTGTGAAAAACACAAACCTCGAAAGAACTTCAGTACGACACCGCCGGATACGAAAACCCAAAACCACTTTGTGAAAAAAAAGGAACGTACGCCGGCAACTTCTGAAATCAGCTGTGGTGCCGACAACTCGGGGGCAGAGGTACACAAAAACTAGCTGCCAAAAGCCTACAAACAAATATAACACTCGAAATATAGCAAATAAAATAAAAGTTAGGAGCTCGAATGAATGCTGACCAAGATTGATTCAAATTTGCAACGTACAACTAAACATATCTCAAAAAGGCTACCCACAATTCTTCCTAACCGGCCCAGTCCCTGGTCCGCGCCGGAACGGATTTAGACCTAAAAATAACTCTAACATGGCTTCTGAAATAAGGTCGAAACCAGAGGCAAAGAAGATACATGACTGTAGAACTTGTGAATGCGTAATAAAAGTTAGAGGATATCAGGGACCGGTTTAACTTAAGAATCAGTTTCAACAAAAATGATCAAACTACTGTCGACTTGGTTAAAAAAGAACTAACACTGCACCGAATGCTAATAGCGGAGCTCTAGCGCGCGAAGCGCGCCTGCGGAGCACCATGGGTAAGTAAATCTACCCATCCCAGAAAATTTGGTAGTCACGTGACCGTACGCCGCCCGCCCGTCCGCACCACAGGCATACCAATGTTTACTCTCACACTTTCTAGCTACTTTGGGAGCCCAGGAGAAAGCTGATTGCACATCAATGTTGACATCAATTGACAGCTGTCAAAACAGGGTATCCGCTGACCAGTATCACCTGACCGTATCGCGGGCTCTGGTGTCGACCCATCAAGGTCCAGTATTAAGTTATCCGCTGACAATTTAGTCGTTGGCAAATGATCGCAGGCTCACATTTACTTTTTTTTAAAATTCATATCAAATATGTTGTGTTTATGTCAGCATCGCCCCGCACTATTACGATTTTGATGTCAAGCTGACCTCAGACGCAAAAATTCAGCCAGTTTTGTTAAAATACAGGCGGGAAAGACCTTTTCTAACCATGGTCACGTGTTGGTCACGCTCCACGTCCAATTTTTATGCTCTGATTGGTTAAAATTTGATAGGTGAGTTCCTGCGTAAAATTCATGCAGCATCTTGAAAGTTGTTTACTTTGACAGCTGAAGCTGACAGAGTTTTGAGTCAACTTGTGATGTTTTTAACTGCCTTTTTCCACTGGATGTAAAAAATGAAATACAGCTGCTATCAAGAGTGTTCTCTTATTCATGGCTGGTTTGTTTACTGGGTTTTTGGTTGAGAAATGCGTCGCTTGTCAAAGCAGATAATCCGATTTCGGATACCCTGCGAGCAGAGGCTACATTTTCGCGGTATGAGCTGGCGTGCTTTGATCGTCCTGAGTATTGAATGAATGCAATTTGTCTTGAAAAATTGTGAAATACTGCATTTTGTACGAGGTCTGCATGATAAAAACAGCGCCTTATAGTACTCTTTTTCCTCAGATGTGGTGTATAAAATAAAAAAAAATAAAAAAATAAAATAAAAGAATGGTTTGAACGCACCCAGATTTATTGGCAAGAATTTGTAAACTTGTCGAACGCAAAGAATTCGGCCTGATTTGTTTTCCAAGAATTTGTTTTCCACGCCTTATCTACTGTGATCAAAAGCCATTATTGCTCTTAAATGTGACCGAAGACTATTTTTTGGGTGTACATATAAGGCTATATCAACTCGATACAAGATTTGTTTCAGTCCAAAATCACTTAGCTTTTCCCTCAAAAGTCACATGAATGTGCCCTTAAGTTAACTGATTTGTGGAATACAAAATTATTGTTTGATTTAAGTTATAAATTTATTAATGGGAGCTTCGCTTTTAGCTGTGGCTAAATCTATATATTACTCTTTTAACTACCTTCTGCCCTACCTTAAGGATGGTTTCTTGTGACCATAGAGACACTGTTATTTTCTGACCCCTTCAGGACTTAAACAGCTGTAATTTAAATAAATTGGACCTTTCTGCTTTAGTATTATTCTATCACCAAGGCCAGAGCGCCGATTTTAAGTACTAGGCGACTTTGAAAGACGCGTGCTTCACATATTTGTGGCGGATTAGAATGCCGGCTTGGTCAAAGGCCCTTTGTTTAAAACATGGCGGGATACTCGCAGCTTAAGGCAAGCATGTGCCTTGTAGCTGTCAACATAATGCTTTTTAATTACATTCTGTCATAATTAACAAAACCCGATCCATGTTTGATTGAAAGTAATTGTACAAATCTGGTACCAGACAAACCGCTTTTAAAAAACAAAAACACAAAACTAGTTTATGGTTATTTCTCATTAATTTCACTTGATCAAAACAAATATTTACTTTTATCAGTTTTCCCGTTTCTTTCAAAACATCCTTCATTTCCGGGCGTTTCACCGTGGTCAATGAAAGATGCGTTTTATCGGTCTTCTTTTTCGCGGGAATATCAAAATTTCCATCTTTCAAAACGCGATGAACCAAAGCTCGCAGGATACCAAAGCGCCAAAGGCGCACGATGCAGTCCCGGTGTTTTGTGAGCATCCGTTAAAAATATTGAACGCCAAAACTATCAAGTTTTGGTACAGCGAGAGGCAGCTAGTTTCTGTACCCAAAGGTTAGTGCATGGACAGGCTATCGAAAGAAAATAAAAGGGATGGTTGCCCAATGGATAGCAGGCCTAACTACGCAAAATAAATGTCTCATTGCATCCTTGTCTGCGAGGTTAGTACTAAATTTACACTCTAGAATACATTACAGAACTCAATCAGCAACACTTTGCAAGTAGAATTGGTGATCAGTGTGGGCAATTTATATTTCTAAGGGACGTCCGTCGCACAAAGGCTTAACGCGCGGGGGTTTGTAGTCAATGATTGACATAACAGTTTCCTCACAATCGACCCAGTTAGAATGCGATAATGTGCGCGTGAACTTTGCCTACAACTGGCAATAAGCTGAATAAACCGGAAGCTGAACACCATGAATAAGTTACCTAATTACATCGCAGGTACTTTTTCTTTTTTTTCAACTACCGGAGAGGTTTTTCGTGCATTCTGTTGCGCAGTTTGGCAGTGATATTCCTGCGATGGTTTTAGTACTGGTCCCGTTGCCGAAACCTTGCACCAGCAAGATACGGTAATCGAGAGTCGAGAATCGAGAATCGATATTGTACTCGGGACAAGAAAAGGTCGCCGTCCAAGGAACAACTGATGAAAAGCAAGAGCTTCAAGCTGCTGAGAATCGCCAATTCTGGATTACAAGCAGTGAAGGAACTCCTGAGAAGCGTCCAAATTATAAAGGAACTTTGGAGGCAAGTCAGCCACGGTGATTGTCGCACCACGGATAAAGTAGAATAAATTTGTTAGCCTGGTCTTGTCTTTGCCACAAATCACGTAAAACTATAAAGAAGGTACCACTATGAACTCTGGAAAATGAAAATTCAATAATGCTATGGTTGACGACTGACAGTTTAAAAGAGAGACAACCTTCACCTCAGAATCTTGGGCGCGCCGCCTGTAAGCTCTGAGGGAGAGGGAAGCCCCTTAATTTGGCCTATTTCAAAAACAAATGACACAACAAAAATAACCTACAATTATAATTTCAAAAGAGAGACTACCATCGCCTCAGAATCTTGGGCGCGCCGCCTGTAAGCTCTGAGGGAGAGGGTAGCCCCATAATTTGGCCTATTTCAGAAACAAATGACAATGCAAAAATAACCTACAATAATAATTTGGATAAATGACCGACATTTTAAAAGAGAGACTACCATCACCTCAGAAACTTGGGCGCGC